GAGGTTTGTACATTTTATTAGCCCTTTCTAAGAACTGTTTTTCTTTGCTGATCTTTATCATGTGTTTCATTAATCTCTTGCATTTTTATTTTCTTCTGTCTTTGAGTTAATTTAGTGGTTCCAGAAGTTTAAGATGTACAGTTCTAGGTTTCTTTTCTAATGTAGGCATTCAAGGCTATAAAAATCTCTCTAATGGTTTCAGTTGCACTCCAGATATATTTGAGATATAACATTTGGCCAGCGCCGCAGCTCACTAGACTAATCCTCCGCCTGTGGCGCCGGCACATTGGGTTCTAGTCCTGGTCGGGGCGCCAGATTCTGTCCCAGTTGCCCCTCTTCCAGTCCAGCTCTCTGCTGTGGCCCAAGTCCTTGGGCCCTGCACCTGCATGGGAGACCAGGAGAAGCACCTGGCTCCTGGCTTCGGATCAGCGCGGTGCACCGGCCGGTGCGCCAGCCTCAGCAGCCACTGGGGGGGGGGGGTGAACCAACGGAAAAGGAAGACCTTTCTCTCTGTCTCTCTCTCTCACTGTCCACTCTGCCTGTCCAAAAAAAAAAAAGAGAGAGAGATAACATTTTTATTCACTTCCACTTCATTTCAAAATTGTTTGTAATTTTCATTACATGTAGTTAGCAGTCTTTTAAAGATTTATTTGAAAGATAGTGTTAATAAATAAAAAATAAAAAGAAGAAAGGCAGAATTACAGAGAGAGACATAGAGAGGGAAAGAGATTTTCCATCACTGGTTCACTCCCCAGATGGCCTCAACAACCAGGGCTGGGCCATACTAAAGCCAAGAATCAGAAGCCTCTCTCGGTCTCCCACATAGGTGGCAGGAGCCTGAGCATTTGGGCCATCTTTCGCTGCTCTTCTCAGGCCGTTAGCAGAGAGCTGGATCGTAAGTGGAGCAGCTGGGACACGAACTGGTGCCCATATAGTATGCCAGCATTGCAGGCAGTGGCCCAGCCTGCTGTGCCACAGTGCTGGCCCCTAGTTAGCAGCTGTCTAATGGGCATTTTTAGTGTTTCTGGGCTCAGTTCCCGTGATGAGAGCTGACTTGGTTCTCTGTGAAATGTGCTGGGACCTGCTTTTGATCACATTATCAGTCTTGCTCCCCTGCAGGAAACTGAACTGGATCTACTCCTTTTCCATTTCGTGTCTGCTCCTGCAGGCCAACCCAGCCTTCTGTCTCTTCAAATGTCTGCATACCTCCCTCAGGCGGACTCCCCAGATCCCTTCTCCATGGCTGGGCACTTGGTGTAGTGGTTACAACACAGCTTGGGAGACCCACATCCCACGTCAGAGTGCCTGGGTTCGAGTCTTGGCTCTGCTCCCAATTCCAGCTTCCTGCTTACGCATACACTGGGAGGCAGCAGGTGATGGCTCAGGTGGTTGGGTCTCTGCTCTCCACTTGGGAGATTTGGATTGAGTTCCCAGATCCCAGCTTCAGCCTGGCCCAACCTTTGTTGTAGGCATTGGGGGAGTGAACCAGCAAATGGGAATCCTTGCTCTCTCTCTCTCTCAAAAAAAAATAAGAAAAATAACAACTATTTGAAAATCCATTTTCTCTCTCTCTCTCTATATATATATATAATATATATAATAAATATATATTATATTTAAATATATATATATTTGCCAGTTCAGTGGCAAAAATATTGCAGTGTGGCTCTAAGGCCCTGTGAGGGCTGCACCCCAAGCCTGGGAGCTCTGTGCTCCTTGTCCAGCTGAGCTGCACCCATGTCCGGGTTCAGGTCCTGCTGCTCAGATGTCTGGGGTCCCTAAGGAAACCTGTTTTCCTAGTTCCTCTTACTGTTTTTATTGTGGTAAAATGCATACAATATAAAATTTACCAATGTAGTCACTTGTAAGCGCACAGATCCGTGGCATTAAGTACATATTACATGGGTGTGTTACCCTCACTACCTGTCATCTGTCCCCATTCCATCCCACCTTCCCAGTCCTGCTCTGCTTACCCAGCCACTGGCACCCCATGATTCGGCTTTCTGATCATGGAGGCCTCAGAGAAGTGGAATCACACGGTACTTGTTCTTCATGTTGGCTTCATTCACTTAGCACTCATACGGCAGTAACTCTCAGAACCTCACTACGTTTTCCCAAGTTTTTTTTTATTGTGGTAAAATAGACGTGAGATTTTTCCATCTGAACCATTTTCAAGCCTGCAGTTAACTGCTATTGAATGTGTTCACAAGTACTGGACAGCCATCACGCCATGCATCTCCAGAATTCCCTTCATCTTGCAGAGCTGAAACTGTCCCCACTCAACAACTCCCTGTGGGCCCTCCCCCGGGCCCAGGCAGCCACCCCTCTGCTTGTTACGTCTGTGGATTTGACTGCTCTTGGGGCCTCACCTAGGTGGCATGGTGTCACCTGTGTCTCTTTGTGACCAACATACTCCACTTAGCTTAACACTCTCAAGGGTCATCGCATGGGTCAGAATTTCTTTTCCGGTTAGGGGTGATTCTTGTTGATCCTTTGATCCATCAGTGGACACTTGGGTTGCTTCCACATTTTAGCTACCGCTAGGAACCTGAGTGTACAAATATCTTTTCAAGACTCTGCTTTGAATCATTCTGTGTGTGCTATAATCAGACATGAAGTTTCTGGATCAGGTAATAATTCCGTTGTTGATGTTTTGAGGAACCGCTTTACTGTTTCAGCGTAAATACCATTTGACATTCCCACCAGAGTTCACTAAGGGTTCCAGTTTCTTGACATCTGTGCCAACACCAGTTATTTTCCGGTGTTGTGATAGTAGCCTTCCGTCCTGTCAGGTGTGAGGTGGTATCTTGTGGTTTTAATTTATTTATATCTCCCAAATAATTGGTAATGTTGAACATCTTTTCATGTTTTTTGGCCTTGAAGAAATGTCTTTTTTGAGTCCTTTGCTTGAGTTATTTGTGTTTTTTTATTGTTGAATTGTAGGAATTCTCTGTTATGGATATTAACCCCTCCTCACATACATGATTTGTTAGTATTTGCTCCTTTATTTATTTATTTATTTATTTGACAGACAGAGTGGACAGTGAGAGAGACAGACAGAGAGAAAGGTCTTCCTTTTCCTTTGGTTTGCCCCCCAATGGCCACTGCGGCCAGCGCGCTGCAGCCGGCGCACCTCGCTGATCCGAAGCCAGGAGCCAGGTGCTTCTCCTGGTCTCCCATGGGGTGCAGGGCCCAAGCACTTGGGCCATCCTCCACTGCACTCCCGGGCCACAGCAGAGAGCTGGCCTGGAAGAGGGGCAACGGGGACACGCCCTGACCGGGACTAGAACCCGGTGTGCCGGCGCCGCAGGCGGAGGATTAGCCTAGTGAGCCGCGGCTCACTAATCCTTTCAGTTGCCTTTTTACACTGTTGATAGTGTCTTTTAATACACAAATTCTTACAATTTGTCTTTTTTCTTCTTTCGTTGTTTGTCTTTGGTGTCGGATCCAAGAAATCATTACCAAATATAATGCTGCAAATGTTTCCCCTGTGTTTTCTTCCTCAAGTTTAGTAGTTTTAGCTTTTACATTTAGATGTTCAGTCCACTTTGAGTTAGTTTTTGTATATGATATAAGGTGAAGTCCAATTTTTCCCACCAGAATTTGTTAAAAAGGCTGTCCTTTCCCCCACTGAATGGTCTTGGCACCGTTGTTGACAATAATTTCTCCAACTATATGAGTTTATTTCTGAACTTTCTGATCTATTCCTTGGGTCTCTATGTCTATAGATGCCAGTGCCACAGTGTTTTAATTATCGTAGATTTGTGATAAATTTTGAAATTAGGACAGATGAGTCTCCAGTTTTTTTTCCTTTTTAAGATTGTTTGAAATCTGGAATCCCTTCAGAGTTGGCTGGATTTTGAGGATGGATTTTTCTATTTCTGGGAGGAAAAAAAAAAGGTCATGGGGATTTTGATAGGCATTGCATTTTGCATTGAATCTGTAGATCATGTTGGGTAATAGGTTTACCCAATTTTAACAGTATTAAGTTTCTAATTCATGAAGATGGGCTCTTTCCATTTATGGCCTCTTGAATTTAATTCCTTTTTTTTTTTTTTTTTTTTTTTTTGGACTAGTGTTCTATCGTGTGGGGGGCCACATCGTGTTCATTTGTTCATTACCTGGGCAGCACTTAGTTGTTGTCGCTCCCCGTCTTCATGGAGGAACGACACAGGACCCTGCGCTGTTCTTTTGTCTGCTTGGCCCTCCCCAGGTTTGCTGCTGGTTCTTCCCGGGTTGG